GCTCCTTGACTGCCTTCACATGGGACAGGTGAAATCAGTTCAGCTATGGGGTGCTAGTTCTCTTCCAAGATTCTTATGTTTCTTGTGCACAGAGGTCTTGGGCCAGGCACAGCCCTGCCTTATATGAATTCACACACATACACACACAATGTGAGACAAATGACAAACTATCACATTGGTGGTAGAGGGCGCTGTGGCCTGGCAGGGACAAGAGGGAGAGGGCCACCCTCCACCAAGCCATCAATGGAAGCATTGCTGCGAATGTGCTCAATTGCAAAGGAGACTCTGGCTTTTCTTGTCACCACATTCCAGCACAGACGTCCTGACGGACCACCCAGATCTCTCCAGAATCTTCTCCTAATGCTGAATGTCTCCTTTGAGAAAGGGTCTTTAATCTCCACTTTAATGAGGCAGATTCTGACTACCTCTCATCGCACCCTCTTCAATGCAAATCTAAAGCTGTGTTCTAAAGTGGGGAGTGGTAGGCACGCATTAGCCCACCCATTGTAAAACCTCTGATTGAGACCAATTACTTAAACCAGCCCCACTTCATTTCCAGTTGAAAACCTACTGCTAATGTCTGTTGGCTGCAACGGGAACTGATGAGGCAATCAGGAGGAAAAACAGATGTAATAGATGTGTCATCTTACAAAGGGCTGGGGGAGGAGGCTGGGCAAGGCTAAGGATGGAGGATGCTCATTTACTGTCTGCAGACTTGGTGCCAGGTACGGTATAATTTTGTAGGCTTGTTCACTGAGGAGGAAGAATATTGTCCCCTAACTGAACACACACGCATACACACATGCACACACACGTGCACACATACATGTACATAACTACACATGCACACAGATACCCACATGCACACAGACCTTAAACTGCCCTTGCCAAGGCAACTACAGGCGGAACTCAAAATTCAAAAAATTTATAGAAGTCTAATTTTTAATTTGATGATTTTGTAGGGTTCACAAAGGATATAATAAATATCTACAGATTTCCCTCTCTGAAAACTTTAGTGCCTGTAAGTAAAAGAAAAAAAGCCATATAGGAATGGAAGCTAAGAAAAGGTGGACTGGGTGTGCACTGTTTAAATTAGTAGAAACAGCTGCACAACATGCACAGGTATGAAAATATTTCCTCACTTAATGTTTAATCCTATCCTGTTACACATGGATTATTTTTCTCAGATCACAGATATGGCTTCGTGGCGTTTTCTGATACAACACTGTTCCTTTCACTCCAGCAAACTGCTTCCTTCTGTAACTGCCCAATGCAGACCTCCTCTGTGGCTTGGAGACAGGCAGGCCCAGTGCAGAGGCCCTGGTGTGCAACGCTTCTGAAGACTTCTCAGCACAGACTGGGATTTCTCCCTGTGGGGCACTCTCAGGCAACGCAGGACCTGCTTCCTTGTAAAGCCATATGTCACATGCTGATTTAGATGGTACAAAGTGCTTCCCTGAGACAGCCAATGCATTTTCAAAATGAATTTCCATCTTGTTGTCTGTTCTGCATGGTATTATATAACTATTTGTCTTTGATAGCAGAATGCCACAATTAAGGTGAAATCCACAGATGCAAACCTAACAATTTTTTGGCATTTCCCATTCATCTTAGAATAGTTTGGCTGAAAACAGATGGGTTCCTCACCCCCATAGCAACGCATGTGCATGTGAGCTTGCACTCCTGCACACACACACACACACACACACACACACACACACACACACACACACACACAGGTATGGAACAATCCCATTTAACATAGCACCTCTCTTTTGATTTCATCCTGTGGCTAGCTCTCCACTTGTTTTCTTTACTGGCCCTCTATAAATGATATTCATTCACTGCTAAGGCAGAGCAGGCTGAGAGCTGGGCTTGGATCTAGAAGACCAGCCCTTTGTCCCTCTATATTGTTCAGTAAATGCACGAATAGAAACAAAAGAACTGAAGCTTTCCAATTAGACAAGTTATAGATCCATGACTCCAGAACTCACCAGCTGTGTGACTTCAAGCAAATTGCTCAGGACTCTGAACTGTATATCCTCATCTTTGAATCCTCATTTGTGTGACTGGCCTTGCAAGATTGCTGTGGCATGTCAAGTGGAGGAAAATCTGCTTGCATGTCGTGGCCTCATTTTACACCTTATTCACTGACTCTCATGAGTCCCTTCAGCATAATGACATTTCTCTCTCACAAGGTTATTTTGAGGATTCAGTGAGAAAATGTATCTGAAACAATTATGACATTGTCATCTATTTTAATGGACTCATTTGCTTATTCACTCAATCAATAATTATTTTATCTTAAATATTCAGTGCTTACTGATAGGGAGTTATAATAACATTAGAACATTCATTCTCCAGATATAGCCGAGTCCCTTAAAAAACATCTTATGACCAAAATGTGTATCTCTAGATAATAAGGAGATAGTTTGTAAATGGAGCCATCAAGCAAGGGTCAATGCTGGGCTTAAAATTTGAGAAGACACTGGGTGGAAAGTTAGGTGATACAAGGAATGGGTAGCCCATTTGGAAGGTCCAATGTGAGCTAGGTTACTACAGTGCCCAAATGTGGGAAAAGTGAAGAGGAGCCTAAATTAATGTGGGAAATGGAGAGCATGGCTGAAGAGGTTGCAAAATTGGATTGGAATGCATTGGTAGATAGATTTTCAGTTTTTAAAAGAGCAAATTTACAGAGTGAAGGAGACATTTACTTGTCAAATTGTTGTAATGGTCAGAGCTGAGCCCACCTGAAGCTAGGAGCCAGAATTTTTTCCAGGTCTTCCATGGAGCCTGAGGCCTTGACCCATCCTCTGCTGCTTTGCCAGTCCATAAACAGGAAGCTAAATCAGAAATAGAGCAAGCAGGACATGATCTGATGCTCATCTGGGAAACTGGGGCTGCAGATGGAACCCTAGACCACACTATCATGGCGCTAGCCCTGTGATTTGCACTTTTACTTCTATAGATGCTGGAGAGTCCACTATAGCTCTCTGAGTTGGGAAATGGTATTGTCAGAGCTATTTCTCTTGGTAATGAACTTGATGAAATGAGGCCTACCCGGACTCATTTTTGGGTGTATCAGAGAAATAGAAAAGGCCCTGACATAAACCAAAGGATGAGGCTAAGAAGCTCATCGCTATCACAGAGGGGTAGGACAGAGTGTGAGGGACTGTATTGGGAGAAAGTGAGTACAAAGGAGACTAAAGATTCAGGAGGGACTGGAATACCACATAGGCCATGGGTGAGTGGAGAAAGCACAAAAGACATCTTGAGGTTTCCCTATACGTAAAACAAAAGAATAAAGCTGAGTTAGCAGGGTTCCCAGGATCAGAGAAAGACAGACTAGCCTTGTGGTGGAGCCATGTTTACCAACCTACATGGTATTGACAGTTTGAGCCCCTTCATTCTTTGTTGTGGATGCCATTTTGTATCATGTAAAATGTTTAGCAGCATCGCTAGCCTTTATCCGCAAGATGCCTCTAGCACAACACTCCAAGTAATAGCTATCATGAGCATTTCTGGAGATTGCCATGTAACCCGTAAGAAGAGAAGCCCTAAGTGAGGACACCACGGTAGGGGAGGCCTGGTTTCCATGAAGAAATGTGTGGAAATGATGAGAGGATGTGTGTTCCCACCTGACAGGGCTCTAAGCCAGGAGCTTTGACTGAGGGTGACACAATGAAAGAGAGAGTGGAAATAGCTGAGCTCCTCCTGCATCACCCTGACCTGGCCCAGTGTTCCAAGTAGGAGACCGCTCACATATTCACAGAAGCATGATGGAACACCAACTATGGTTGGATTACTTGTATAAAAGAGAGAGAAAGAAGCCTTTCAAGTTGGTTAGCAGTAGGGGAAAACTAAAGCCAAGGGGATCCAGGAATAAAAGTAGGGACAGACAGGAAGAAGAAAGACACAGATATCCAAGAATTCAGGGCTTTCCTGGGCCCACAACTGATACTTGGCTTCTATCAAGTTTTCCTTCAAAATGAGGAAAGGCACATACCAGCTGGATGCTTTTCTAGAAATTTCACATCCAAATCAGATACACTTTCCTCAGCATACAAATTGTTCGTTAAATTTTCTTGTAATTTATTTGAGATTTATAATGATATGATTGCTGGCCAATTCTGCTAACAAAAGAATCTAAATAATCCCGAGGATAGAGAGACAGGCGAACACCCATCAGCAAGCTAGTTCCCATCAAGAGGCTGCTGATCATTTTCATATCAAGACTCATTATGAGGATTAAATAAGAAATAGAAAATACCTTTCACACACGAGTTCAACTATGATCTGTATGTCTGCCTACCTGATCATCTGTCCATCTCCATTTATATTATTTAATGTATATCTGGAAGATGATGCAGGTAGCACCTTAGCAGTCCAGATGTGTAGCCTTTATTGGCATTATAATTCTACAGAGTGCTTCAAGAGATATCTATTTAAGACATCTGGTCTCCTCCAGGCACAGATATGCTTTATCTTAATGCCATACAATGTCTATCTAAAAAGCAGAATGTCCGTTGGATTATGCATATTTCACAGGCTCCAGATGTTTGGCAATATACAGTAAAACCTTCATGTAATTGTTAGCATTTTCTACATTTTTCTGGTGCTTTATGTCCAAGTTTGTGTATCCTTGTCTCAGTCTGGTTAGATTGAAGTTTGAAGTGCCACTCAACAGTACGAAGAATTATGGAACTCTGTTCTCACTTCCCTTTCACCTCCATCTGAAAATGAGGTCTAGGTATTGATTGAATGGCTCCCCTCCGTTAGTCACATGGACACTGCTTTAAAAAAAGTCTAAAGGGCAGCGTCTTGGTGATGTGGGCCAATTATAGGAAGTTTGGTTAATCAATACCTTGATTAATAATTAACTGTATTTGAGAGCTGAGTGAATTCTCTGAGTTTTAAACTTTTGTTGGTTGTTTCTTCAGCTCCCTGGGTAGACAGGTCTGTTCCTTCAAGGCAACCTAGAGTGGCGGTTCCAGAATAAGATGTTGTTTACGGCTTTCTTCACCTTGTCTTTGGTGACTTGTCAACTTGGGGTAACTGCACAGGAGAAGGTGAACCAGTAAGTGGACCTTAAGTCTCTGCAAAACGTACATGTAGCAATCATCTGTTAGGGAATCAAGACATTTTATATAATATTATATATTATAAGATATATAATATTTTATGTTAGGCCACCAGAGAACAGAAAGTAACTTTATAGTTACAGCATTACTACTCTAGTGAAGGAGGATAGGGCAATGAAAAACCATGCATCTGGAGTCAGACTGGCCCAGGTGAAAAATCCCAGCTCTAACACTCAGGAACTAGATAAGGGACATCTTTACATGGATAGTCTTAAATTATAATTCAGAGAAAATCACTGGATCTCTTTTATCTTCAGTTTTGCTGTTTACAAAATTAGAATGATAATGCCTCTGTGTAGGAGTTAATACAGATGAAATAAGAGGTTCTCTATATAAAAGACACTCAGCATATAGTAGGCACTGAATAAATGATAATTCTCTTTGTGATGTTGGACAGCACCTGTATAGTGGCATCACAAGAACACTCACTCCATACTTTGGGGGAAGCGTGTAAGTAGAAACATGAGCAAAGTCATTTTGTTAAAGCAGGGTCCTCTTGAGATGCTGGGCCAATTTACTATAAAATTAAATTTAGCTTCTGTTGGCTGGGGGCAATAACTAAAATATCTGCATTTGTGTGTTGAATTTTATCTATTTTATTTCCTTGAAACTCCCAACTTGGCTTCACATTGTTTATATCTTAACATCAAGTGTGTTGTAATGCTTCAGCAACCCCTTATTTCACCTCTGGGTAATTGTAAAGTAGTCCCTGTAGCTCAAGCATTGACTATTTTAACCAGAATTATTTTAGTCAAATAGATGATTGTTAGATGATTCAATTTTGAATCGTTATTGCTTTTAAAAGGCTAGCACAAGAGGGATTTTCTTCAAGCAACAGTTCAGAAGGAGGGAAAGCAATTTATAAGTAGTTAATTTGTCACTTTTACTTAAAGCAAATATAGTTTTAAAACATCAGAAATTTCATCTGTAATAATAAGAAGATAAAGGCAAGAGAACAGTGGTAAAGGAAATCTCTGCCAAGATACTCTTAATTATAAAAACTTATCATTGTAATCCTTTTTGAAAATGAACAAAGAGTCTTGATGTTTGATGAACTTATCAAACAAGACAGACCAGTGAAGAGGCAAATTTCAAGTCAAGGAAAAAGAGAGCCAATTAAACACTTTACAAAGTGCTGAAGTAGGGAATCACACGGTCCTTGCATGCAATGGCAGTGTGTTTGACACAGACTTTGAAAATGGAAAACCACTATTGAATTAACTATGTTCACCGCCTCCTACTGGCATTTACCAGTTGTGTGATCTCATGAAAATTATTCAACTATGCTGAGCTCCGTTTTCCTTGCTTGTAAAATGGGAGGGAGGTCAGACAAATTCTTACCTAGCAAGCATTCAATGAAAGCTGTTGCCAGATGGTGTGTGATTATTGTTAGCTTTTGGCATTTTCATTCTTTTTGGTGATTGGCAATAATCAAACAGAAAAATGCATAATGTATCAATTGGCATGAATCTTCCAGGACAATGAGGGCCTTGTATCTTTATTTTTGGAAATAATACCCTTTTCAACCCAAAGTAAATCTCATATGAACCCTTTCATTGAAAATAGACTTATTTGCATTTTTAATGATGTACATTTATTTCCAAAGAAACACCTTGCCATTTGCTTATTATAAAGCTTTAGTAGAAAAATGTTATTTGCAAAAACATTGTAAAACAGAGGTTATGGAAAGAAGCTTCACTCTTTAGCTTCAAAATAATGGATTTGCATTATGTGTTTTATATAAACAAAATCTATTAGTATTTGTGCTACATCAAGTTTTAAAAATTTGAAATTTAAAAAATATTAAGATTTGCATCATCACTAAAAATATGGTGGTCCTTCATAATGGATACTCCATGTGCACATATTAATGTATATTTTTCAGTTGTTTGGTGTAGTTCTAAAACAATTTAGTCAAACTGATTACTAATGGTTTCACCTCCTTGTGCTACAACTTATTGAGAAGGGTGTGGAATGTCCAACAAGGTTGTGGGTTTCTTTTTCATTTCTGCTTCCTGCATTTTGAACCTGTGTTATTAAATTCACATGCAAATACAAAGACAAATACAAACATTCATGATGGTGTTCTTGATTAATTTGTTCTTTTACCATTATGAAAGGCTCCCTCTATACTTAGCTGTTGTCTTTGTTTTAAAGTCTACTTTATCTGTTCTGAATGTATAGTTCAGGTAGACATACATAGATAAGTCTTGCCTTTTATAGCCTAAAAACCTCTATCATTTAATTGCAGTAATTGGAGCATTTGCATCTAAAGCACTTATTGACAGGCTTGAGTTTAAATATGTCATCTTGTTTGTTTTCTGCTGGTCCTATATTTTCTTTGTTTCAGCTTTTTTTCCTTTTTTGGTTACTTTTATTTTAGAGCTGATACTTCTGTAATTCAAAATTAATTGCTACTTTTTCTGCCTTAATTTTCAGTTGTTAATCTAAGATTTGTACGTATCAATGACATCACAATTTACCTTCAAATAATTGCCTCCTCCTTCTGACACATCATTTTTATTTTACCTAAATTATTTCCTTTGACATATCTTGTTGTGCTGATGTTGTGGTGATGAATATTCATTTTCAGAGTTTAAGTTTACTTATTTTTTCTTCTGCAGTGATTAATCTTCCTTTAATTAATTAAGTTTTTAAAGATTTATTTTCTTTTTATTGGAAAGTCAGATATACAAAGAGGAGGAGAGACAGAGAGGAAGATCTTCTATCCAATGATTCTCTCCCCAAGTGAGTGCAATGGCTGGTACTATGCCAATCTGAAGCCAGGAGCCAGGAACTTCTTTCCGGGTCTGCCACACAGGTGCAGGGTCCTTTAAGGGGTCCTTTAAGATGTATACTACTATTATTATTATCCCTTAACAGAAGGCTGGAAAACAACGTGATTTGGCAGGTTCTGAGCCACTCAGTTCCTAGTGGAATGGTAAGGCCTTTCCCATCCTGAGATTACTGTTGCTACCATTGCTGCCATGACCACATCCACAAACAGCAAAACGAAACAAAATGGTTCAAAAACAAGAACTTGCTTTGATAACCAAAACAAATATGTAGCCCATAGTTAGGAAACATGGAGGCTTTTGCTCACATTTTTTCAATTCAGAACTTGCATGAGTGGAAATGGTAATAAAGGCCCCAAGCAGAGAGATGGAGAACAAGCTATCTAAGCACGTAAAGGTCATTTTGTCTTTTTCACCATATAGGCCATGCAGATGACAGACCTTCAAGAAGCCACAAGCAGACCCGCTTTGTTAATTTTATTTCCTTATGGACATCAGAGTATATGTCCCAAAGGATCCTGAGCCAGGACCATGTGAATGTTTTGAACAGCATCCACATTACTGGGAATCAGTATGTATGCAGACGTTGCAAAGCTTTCTTTTTTTTTAAGATTTATTTTAATTTTATTGGAAAGTCAGATATAATGAGAAAAGACAGAGAGGAAGATCTTCTGTCCCTTGATTCACTCCCCAGTGGCCACAACGGCCAGAGCTTTGTCAATCCAAAACCAGGATCCAGGAGCCTCTTCCAGGTCTTCCACGCAAGTGCAGGGTCCCATGGCTTTGGGCCATCCGTGACAGCTTTCCCAGGCAACAAGCAGGGAATTGGGTGGAAAGTGGAGCTGCTGGGATTAGAACCAGTGCCCATCTGGGATCCGGAGTGTGTAAGGTGAAGATTTTAGCCACTATGAAAAATTTTTAATGAATACAAACAACTGGTATAGTGAATGTAACTCCAATGTGGTGATATGGATATCTCTGTTTCCCAGAATAACTAATCATTAACAGTATTTCCAGGGCATCCATTTGGGACATGTGATTGAATTCAACCTGAATTTAAAACCTAAAGTCACTACTTAGTGGTTATTGAACTTGAAGCAATTACTTAAATTCTCTAAGCTTGTCTTTATTCATCTATAAAAGGGAGATAATATACATCTCATAGAGTTCTTGTCAGGAGTTGGGAAAGTTCTCATAAAGTAATTATCATATAACCTGACACACCATAGGACTTAGAGGAAAATAATTTTTCTTATTTTGTTTTCCTCTTACAAGAAACCCCTCAGAGTACATTGCAGAATGAGGGGGAAACAGTTGTATAGCCTTTGGAATCAACAGCCTCGGGTTTAATTCTGATTCCTAATAACTACTCATATTACCTTAAGCAAATTTTCTCATCTCCCTATAAATTGGTTTTGCTCATGTATAAAATAGATACACTTATCCACATGATACATAAGAAATTTTAATGAAATTCTATAGGATTAATGGAGATGCAATATTCATACAGAAATTTTGTTATTGAGTTTCCACTAAATGCCACATCCTGTGCTTGGTACTCATAGTACAGTGGTAAGTGGCATGGTCATGACCACTGCCTATCAGAACTTGCAGTTTGGAGATGGAAGTAAAGAGTGAAGCTTTACATAGAAATTACTATGCTAAGACATGACAGGCAGGTCCAGGAGACAAACAGTAGGAAGGCTTGGATTGGAAGAAACCACATTCAGCAGACACTGCAGAAGGGCAGGCACATGTTTTGAACTGCAAGTTTTGCATGGAATTCTCTGTGCTTCTGGTATGCAGTAAATACATTTTGCATTCATTCAATAAATATTCTAGGGATGCTGTGTACAGGGAGTAAACTAAATATATCATGTTCTTACTCCCATGGAATTTATAATGTAGTGGTAGAATCAACCAATAAGCAGGGAAATTGACCATCTTATTACAGGAATATATAGAATTTCTAAAAATATTTTTTATTTGAAAGAGTTACTCTCTGTGTGTGTGTGTGTGTGTGTGTGTGTGTGTGTGTGTGTGTGTGCATGTGTTTTACATTCACTGGTTCACTCCCCAAATGGCCACAAGGGCCAGAACTGACATGATCTAAAATCAGGAGCCTGGAGCATTCTCTGGGT